ATGATATAGTGTCCTTCCTCCTCTTTTATTATAGTCTTTGGTTTAAAAGCTAATTTGTTTAATATAAAGATTGCCACCCCAGCTTTCTTTTGATGTTCACTAGCATGGTAAATTGTTTTCCACCCCTCACTTTCAATCTGGAGGTTTCTTTGAATCTAAAATGAGTCTCTTGTAGACAGTATATTGATGGGTCTTTTTTTTTTAATCCAATCTGATACCCTGTGTCTTTTGATTGGGGCATTTAGCCCATTTACCTTCAGGGTAACTATTGAAAGATATGAATTTAGTGCCATTGTATTGCCTGTAAGGTGACTGTTACTGTATATTGTCTCTGTTCCTTTCTGGTCTATGCTGCTTTTAGGCTCTCTCTTTGCTTGGAGGATCCCTTTCAATATTTCTTGTAGGGCTGGTTTGGTTTTCGCAAATTCTTTTAGTTTTTGTTTGTCCTGGAAGCTTTTTATCTCTCCTTCTCTTTTCAATGACAGCCTAGCTGGATATAGTATTCTTGGCTGCATATTTTTCTCATTTAGTGTTCTGAATATATCATGCCAGTCCTTTCTGGCCTGCCAGGTCCCTGTGGATAGGTCTGCTGCCAATGTAATGTTTCTACCATTGTAGGTTACAGACCTCTTGTCCCGACCTGCTTTCAGGATATTCTCTTTGTCTCTGAGACTTGTGAGTTTTACTATTAGATGTCAGGTGTTGACTTATTTTTATTGATTTTGAGGGGGGTTCTCTGTGCCTCCTATATTTTGATGCCTGTTTCCTTCCCCAAATTAGGGAAGTTCTCTGCTATAATTTGCTCCAATATACCTTCTGCCCCTCTCTCTTTTTCTTCTTCTTCTGGGATCTCAATTATTCTAATGTTGTTTCGCTTTATGTTATCACTTATCTCTCAAATTCTCCCCTCATGATCCAGTAGTTGTTTATCTCTCTTTTTCTCAGTTTTCTTTATTCTCTGTCATTTAATCTTCTATATCACTAATTCTCTCTTCTGCCTCATTTATCCTAGCAGTTAGAGCTTCCATTTTTTATTGCACCTCATTAATAGCCTTTTTGATTTTGACTTGGTTCAATTTTAGTTCTTTTATTTCTCGAGAAAGGGATTCTCTAGTATCTTCTATGCTTTTTTCAAGCCCAGCTAGTATCTTTATAATCTTCATTCTGAACTCTAGTTCTGACATCCTATTGATTAGGTCCCTGGCAGTTGATACTGTTTTTTGTTTTTTTTTTGAGGTGAGTTTTTCCATCTTGTCATTTTGTCGAGAGGAGAATAGATGAATAAGAGAACACAATGCTAACAACAACCCCAGAAAAATATGCACTTCCAGAAAGTGGTAACTTTTCTGTTCATAGAATTGCTGCTATTCTTTTTTTTTTGTTCCTGATTTTTTATTTTTTTATTATTATGTTATGTTAATCACCATATATCACATCATTAGTTTTTGATGTAGTGTTCCATGATTCATTGTTTGTGTATAACACCCAGTGCTCCATGCAGAATGTGCTGCTATTCTTTTCTTCGATCTCCTGTTGAGTTTGTAGGCGTTCTGACTGGTTTGATAATTATCTAGCTGAATCTCTGGAACCAGATGAAATTTATGTCTCCTACTCCTCCCCCATCTTGCTCCTCCTCAGTCAGGGAGATTCGAAATGTGACACAGAGATACAACGTGAGCAAAAGCTGTTGGAAAAATGGCACCAACAGACTTGCTCAATGCAGAGTTTCCACAAAACTTCAATTTGTAAAAAATGAAATATCTGGATTTTCCTCACTTCAGCTGAACTCCCTCCAGCCCTGAAAGGACAGGGCATGTCGGAGGCTGTGGGCCGGCCTGTTCCAACCACTGCCACCAGTGAGATGGGGAGGGCCAGCAGGACTACTAGGCGGGAGCGCTCAAATGAATTTTATTTCTAATCAATGATGCATTTACTATTATTTATGAACATTTCATTCACACCAAAATATTTTAGAGTCCTTTTCCTAGTATTAATTTTTATTTATTTATTTATCTATTTATTTATTTATTTATTTGAGAGACAGAAAGTGCATGAGCACAGGAGCAGGGGTAGGGGCAGAGGGAGAAGGAGAGAGAGACTCTCCAGTGGACTCCCCACTGAGTGCAGAACCCAGTGCGGGGCTCAATCTCAGGACCCTGAGATCATGACCTGAGCCAAATCAAGAGTTTGATGCTTAAACGACTGAGTCACCCAGAAGTCCCCTAGAATTAATTAATTTAAAGCTAGCATGCATAGTAATATAAATTTTAATCTGCCATTAAACCAACTTAATATATATATTTATATTATATATGAACTAAATAGATACTTTTGGGATTCACAACCTTTCCATGCACATACATTTAAACCAGTGTTATGCTAATGTATATACTAAAGGCCCTATTCTGTGCTGAATTTCTTTTTTCTGCTCTCAGAGATACCATGGGGAATAAGAACAAAACAAAAAGAGCTTGCAACATCGGGTAGAAAGGTTACCATCAGTACACAACTCTGTGCATTTAAGGCAGATGTGTAGAGGCAACTTCTCTTAATAAGAACAGTTTTACTTCCAATCATTAGTGCTTCAGTTTTTCATATGAGAGAAAATAAATAAGAGACATGTTTTCTGAGAACATTCAGTTATAGAACTTTCAGAGAGAGGGGGGAAAAACATGAAATCAAGGGAAAATGAACATAAAATTTAGGTCACTGCTAAATTATTATTTTCTCTGTGGGTTTTTCTTTACCAGTTGCTTTTATATGCACTTCACATCTAAGTATTTAGGCTAAATGCATTTGAAAATCTTGCTTTTCCACTGATGCTCCATTAGCCTGAGTAAACTCTGCTGCATCAGGGTCCAAGCTTTTTTAAAGCAAGGAGGAGGCTGAGGGACCTATGCACTCAACAACAAATCATTCTGATTTTATTGTCATGTCTGACACTCTTTTCCCCCAGTGCCTTTTGACTTCTGCTTCATCAGAAGTCTAAATTTCTCCAACATGTGAAGTTGGTGTCTAAGACATTTGTAGCCTTTTTCTATAATATGTAAACCTGAGGACTTCTTGTTATCTATTCATATCTATTCAAATTAATTTGTCTCAGAAGACTAAATGGGGCCTCCTATATTGAATTGGATTGCTATTCCCACCATTTGTATGTTCATTATTACATTCCTTTGTTGATGTTAGTCATGTGTCTTTTATGGGAAGAAAAATGGGAGAAATTACAAGTTGTATTTCTGTAGTGACCCAGGGACCAGAAACTATGGATATTTCTTCTCTTTTGTATAGTCTCCTGGAGTCCTTGTTTTCTTTGTTATCCTCAACAAATGTTGCTAAGAAAGGATATGGAGACCTTGTTTTGCATATCTCGGCATTTCTCAAATGACTAAAATCTGTGCTCAATAAGCCTCTGTGTTATATCTTTTCTTTCCTCCACCTACAATCCCTTTCTCTTCCCCTGCTCTTTCCCTATGCAAATAAGCCTGTTTGCTCTCTGAACAAAGGAGGACCCTTTATTTTTATTTTGACCCTAGAACTACAGCCTTTTCTCCTCTTCATCTTCACATCCAAAGTGTTTGAAAATGCAGTTTTCACCTTCTGTCTCCTTTTAAAAATTTTTTTTATTATGTTCAGTTAGCCAACATATAGTACATCATTAGTTTTTGATGTACTGTTCAGCGATTCATTAGTTGCATATAACACCCAGTGCTTATCACAACATGTGCCCTCTTTAATACCCATCATTTCTTTACATATATTTCCTTGTTGAAGCAACAGTGGGCTAGGAGTGTCTAGTTTTAGCACTGAAAATCCCATGACCCAAGAGATTCCTCAGTCTTGGACAAACTGACACAGCTGGTCACTTTACACACCTTCTCCTCCCATATAATCTCTACCTCCAATCACTCTTCAAATTCTGAGAGCTGGGGCACCTGGGTGGCTAAGTCAGTTAAGCTTGTCTGTCTCTGGCTCATGTCATTATCTCAGGGTTCTGGGATTGAGCCCTGTGTCCTGCTCCCTGCTCAGTGGGGAGTCTCCTTCTCCCCCCCTCTCTCTCTCTGCCTCTCCCCACCCAGCTTGTGTTCTTTCTCTCGAATAAATAATTTTAAAAAAAGAAATTCTGAGAGTTAAACCTCTTGTCTTTAATTCATTCTCCCTCATTTTTTGTTACAGTCCCCCAGTTCAAATACCCATCCACTCATAGCCTGTTGTACCAGCTTCCTCAATATAACTGACTCTCTTAGTCAACTACTGCATTATATTAGCCTTCCTAAAAGGCAAATTTGATTATGCCACCCTGCTTCGTCCACATTCTAACAGTTTCCCTCTGAAACACTATAAAACCTGAGTCAGATACTTCATGATTTTGTCCTTTTCTATCTGAATACTCTTGCCTGCCATTTCTTTCTTCTTCCGTAAGCTCTATTCATACATATCATTATTCCTAGAACATGCTATTACAGCCTCGTATTTCTAGTGCTTTGTACATGCACTTCCCATTCCCGGAATCCACCCTTCTCAAGACTACCTGGTATATCTTACTTAAAATCCACATCTCAGCTCAAGCACAGACTCCTCTTGGAAGCCATCTGTACTCTTTCAGGCAGATAACAGTTCTCCTTGATTTCCTCCTGTACCTTATATGTCCTTCCATTTAAAAACCTATCTCACTGTATTAAGATAGTCTCTTGTTTCTCTTTGCTACAAGATCCTTAGGGAGAAGCGATATGTGTTCCCCTTTCATATTCCCTGTACCAGCAGAGTTTCTATCTCAATAAGTAATTGTTGAATTAATGTTTAATGAAGTAGTTGCATTATTTTTATAAGCCTTACATTTAGGAGGCAGGGTAGATAGGAGTACATAAGCAAGATCTTATAAATAGGAACCTACTACCATTCTTGCACAATTACTTTATAAGTTGTACTTAGCACCTAAAGAATGACCAAGAGTGATTAGACTTATCAAAACCTAGGAAAAGGGCTAATAATTTGCTTACTGTTCTTGCATCCCATAAAGACAGGGATTTATCTGCAGAACCTGTGAGAAGAGTGTTGGAGCAAGGAAAAAACTCAATGCTGTTCACAGAATCTGTATGTCCATACAAAGTGCATCTGCATCTTTCACTGTATAGAGAGAAATGAAGAGTTCACATTTTAGGAGTTAGCACCTAAATGTTTCTTATGCTATCTACACAATGCTAATGAAGATAATTTAAGTATCTGAGGCAAAAAGTTGTTTTATAAATGGCAAAAATGTATGAGAACCACATTTTAAGGGAAAATTCTATAGTCACCTTATATCCTAAGCACTTTATAGAATTAGTAGCATAAAACTGACTAAATTTAAGTTACCTCAAATTTATAAAGTCACTTGGTAAAGCCATCTTTATATTGTGGCATTTACTCCTTCTCATGAAATGACTACATAAAAATTGTCCCCATCTAATATGGGAATATACTAAGAAAAGAAAACAATGAAATGCAGTTTCATTTGTAGAAAATTTTCCTGCTATTTTCTAATGATTCCCGAAATATAAATACAAAGCATTTCTTTAAAGGTTTATACTCCAAAGCCAATTATATTGAAATAATCACCTTTAACTATTAGGGTAATTGTTCCAGAAATGTAATTGTTCTCCATAGCTTTAAGGAGAGACAGAGAAACATTTTACAGAAAAATAAGAAGTACATATTTATCTTATTAAAATAGTATATTATTGGGGCACCTGGGTAGCTCACTTGGTTAAGTGTGTGACTCTTGATTTCGGTTCAGATCATGATCTCAGGGTCATGAGATGAGCCCTAATTCAGGCTGCACACTGAGCATGGTGCCTGTTTAAGAGTCTCTCTTTGCCCCTTCCCCCACTCATGCACATACTCTCTCTTTCTCTCAAGAAAAAAAAATAGTAGTAAATTATTACATTAAAAAGAAGAATTTAACCATAAAACAAAACAGGCAGAATTAAAGACATTGCTCAGTCAAGTAAATATTTTATTATTATGAGATATTCTCTAAAAGACATCCTAACAGTAAGAAAAATATTAAAATTATGTTATTTTAAATTATTTTTTCACTTATAGAAAAGTATAATTAAAAAAGGAAATGAACAAATGTATAATTCCTCCCACTTTTCTTTTACCCACCTTCCAATTCTTTGAAATCATATGGTTAATATTACATCAAAAATCATAACACATATTTGATCAATAATCACAAATCTCATAGTTGCTTAGTGCCTCCCAACCCGTCCTCCCAGTTTTTATTAAATATATATTTAAATTGATCCTCTGCACCCATATCTTTTCTATTTTCTTGATCATTCAGTACTTCAAAAGCAATTTTAACTGGCTATAATATCTGACATCATCAGTTCTCAAATTTTTGTGAAGAAATGTTCCACTGTCTGTACCACAGGCAAAGTCTGAGGACAACCTAATCTCTCCTCCTATTTCTGTCCAACTACCTTTGTGGATTATTTGCTTTCTATGTGCAATAGCTCTCATAGGTCTTTCACAAACACTGCAGTTCAGAAATTTTATCATGGCATGACTTGATGGTAATTTCCATCTATTATACTTACACTTCAGTTATTCTAGGACAGTCTCCTCCATTATATCTTTAGGTTTTTATCTTCCATTTATTTCACTTTTGATTTCTTTAGAAATACCAACTATGTTTTATTTTTAGTTTTTCTCTTTCTGCCTCCACATTTAACATTTTGTCTATGATACTTATATCCTTATATATATAGTTTTCATTTTTCACACCTTTTCAATTGTCAATTGTACTTATTTTTATTTGTGTATGTATGTGTGTGAGCCATCAAAGGCTTTTATGTTTTCTATTTCACTTATTTCCTGATATTTCTTAGTCTACTTTTCACATGTATGTACTCTCTTATAAAATCATAATGGAATACTTTAGCACTTTTGATGTTTTATTATATAAAATAAATTTTAAAATAGCATTTCTGTAATTTCTTTGAAAATACAGTGTGCTGTCTATGAATTATTGATAACTGTGCTTAAGTAATTCTTTATGCACTATAAGTTCTTTAGTGGAATTTAGTTTATATTAACTTATTCTTCCATTTTTGCAATTCTTCATAAGTTTGGGGTTGGTTTCTTTTTATTATGACCTATATTTTAATGGGATAGCTACTTGCTAAATATAAATGGTAGAAGGAGAGAAATTGGACCCACCCCTAATTTCTAATCAGATTTGTTGTCTTCCACAAAGACATCACCGAGTGTGTTAGTGGCTCCATCTTGGAAGTTCATCTCTCCTTCAGTTTTGTATTTTAAAGTATGGATGCAGCTTCTTGCAAAACCCCTTGAGTCACAAGCTCTGTATTAACTCTAAAGCTTCTGCCTCATTTACACCCCGCCACTTGCCTCATCTATGGCAATCCCCCTTGTATACTTCATCTAACAATAAAAATGTCCTGTTAGGATTTTTGTTTGCAACTATGATAGAGTAACCAGTACTGTACTTCCCACACAATAAACGACTATAAAGTTACACAAATTACATAAGGCAACTGTTTTCTGGCATTAAACTAAACACAGCACAAGACAGTAATCTTTGAGAGAAAGAAAAAACGACGTAAGCTCCATGACCCTCCTGACTTGCTGCTAGGAAGCACTTCCCTGCTATCAAATGTAGCAGTAGGATCCCAGTAGAACCAAAGTCTCAGGCAGACAAGGGGCAGTGAGGACAACTGGAGCTGCGGATATGCCTGGAATTTGCAGCACAGGGTATGAGAAAAGGGAACTCATTGGAATGGCAGTAGTTTTTATGGGGATTTCCTAGGAATTCTTGGTCAAGTTATAGATGGCAATTCTACAGACTAAGAGCAGAGATTTCCTGCTCTGTGTTTGAGATCTGAACAATGATACCAGAGTCCAGGTACTGCTAGAAGACACTGTATTTAAACCGCAACCAGAGTGTGAAGAGAACTCACTGGGCACCTCACAAGTTCAGCTGGGACTCCAGAAAGGCCCCACGATAAAAGTAAGTGTCATCTTTATGAACTAAGTTCAAAACCAAAGTAAACTTGTCTTGCCAAAGAATAAATCCAAGACAGAAAGGGCAAAAATAATCTGCTGATAATTTAACTAATCACTAGGATAGAACTCACTACCTTTTATAGAAAGACCACCTAATATAGACTCCTTATAATTTGCCATTAATAACAACCAGCATGTAATTTAAAAAAAATTACTTCACATGTAAAGAGGTACTAGCTGTGACCCATAATCAAAATAAAATCTCAGTCATAGAAACAGATTCTGGGATGAATCAAATGTTTATAACAGAAGACAAAGATTCCAACCATCTATTATAAATATGTTTAAGAATAAAAAAGCCCAGATAGTTATAATGCGTGTGTGAATAAAGAATCTCAGAAGATAAATGGAGACTATAAAAAAGAAGAACATGGATGAATTAATAAGTATAATATGTGAAATAAAGAGATTATTGAGTGAGCAAAATAGCAGATTAGATATTGGAGAAAAAAAGGATTGATCTGGAAACAGCATGAACAAGAAATAAAAGTATGATTAATATTTTTAACCTCCTATGCACTTTTACTGAAATAAAGTCCTATCTGTGACAAAATTAAGCATTTCTATTTGTAAGTAGTTCATTACTGGTAACTTTTTAGAAAACTATATTTATTAAATAGAAAACATCTGAATATGGTATTTATTATTTTTAATTGAAGCATTTTGACTTATAAAGGATTATGCTTTTAACTTAAAAGATTTTTCCTAACATATACAATTTGTCATTACACTAAAAAGTCTCCTATTGCAAAGTTTGGTAGTATTTTTAAAGGCAAATACAACAGTATTACAAATATGGTTATATGTGTTTCATTATAGTGAAGATCTAACAAACACACATATACACAGAAAATGTATTGTTCTAGTCATGTGTATCCTTGCATATATGTATTATTGGTAAAACACTGTACACATTGACAATTTATATTCAGGCTTTGTTGCTCATTAAAAACTCAATTCAGCTATTTGAGGATATATTCACTTATGGTGGTGGGATAGAGGGAGGAACTCCTCAGTGATATAGCTCACATAGGTTCCCAGATGAAAAGGAAAAACTGGGTCTTCACATAGTTAAAGGAAGAATTGCTCAAGGGGGAAAGAAATCTGCTCAGGAGTCACTGGTTTAAGGTGGGGCATTCCAGGCAGACAGGCTACAAGAGCAGGCTTGTGAGAGATTAATTAGCTGCCAGAGCAGGGAGCCCCATTCAGAATTTCTTTGCAAGGTGAAAATGGACTAAAGTGATGGAGCATGACAGCACCACAAGGGATGGAAATGATTTGTACATTTCTATCAAAAACATAAACACTGAAACTTCATGCAATTTTCTCTTGGTTGCCCTCTGCCGTTTTCCTATCATTTTTGTAGGAAGAAGTTAGTTCATAAGTGATAGCTCTTTATTTTTTTTCAAAGATTTTATTTATTTATTTGAGAGAGAGAGAGAATGAGAGATAGAGAGCACGAGAGGGAAGAGGGTCAGAGGGAGAAGCAGACTCCCTGCTGAGCAGGGAGCCGGATGTGGGACTCCATCCCAGGACTCCAGGATCATGACCTGAGCTGAAGGCAGTCGCTTAACCAACTGAGCCACCCAGGCGCCCGATAGCTCTTTATTAACTCACCTCCTGCTTTTCTTTTATTTCCTTTCTTCTCTTTCCTTGCCCCCTTGATTTAATTTACTACTCTGGTAACTGAATGTTAGTTCTCTGAACTTTCAGCTCATTGTAAAACAAAGTTATCTACTCTTCTAGAGCCCATACATTTCATTTAAAGTGTATTTCCTATACATATGCTAACTCATAAGAGGACAACATTTTAACACAGTTTCCCTCTGTGAGGCATTAAATTTTAGGGATTTTATTTCCTTTGTTGTGTTTGTTTTAGCGCTATTAATATTGGATATGAAATTGCACCTTTAAAACTTCAAGCTTATATGAATTTACAGATCAACAAACTGTTAATGGAATTATAGAACATTTACAAAAAGGCAACAGCAATATATATCTAGCTGAATATGAAGATAAAAAGTAAAAAAAAAATCTATCCTTGTTTT